TATGGCGCCTAATTATGAAAGCATACAACAACCTTTCATCCACCCGATACTAGAGTGTTGTAATAGTGACTGTCCTTGTTAGGTGCTAGTAAAATATTTTACTTAAGTATATGAAGTAATGCCTGATATTAACAATATCAAGATTCAACTAATCTCATTCTCAATTCCAGGTGGCCAAAGAGAGTGCTGACGTCATAATTCTGGATGACAATTTCTCAACAATTGTGACAGTGGCCAAATGGGGCCGTTCAGTATACATTAATATTCAAAAATTTGTACAGTTTCAACTGACAGTCAACATTGTTGCATTAATTGTTAACTTCTCCTCAGCATGTTTGACAGGTAAGAGCGGAATATGTTTGTCTACTTCTATTTAAAACTTATTTTCTAGCTTTCTTTGTGAATGAAAATGATTTTCTCATATTTTTTTATGCTTTTTGCACCAAATCATGCCGCAGGGAGCGCTCCTCTCACAGCTGTTCAGCTATTGTGGGTCAATATGATTATGGATACTCTAGGAGCACTTGCACTTGCAACTGAGCCCCCAACCGATGAACTAATGAAGCATTCACCAGTTGGAAAGAAAGGAAATTTTATCAGTAATGTCATGTGGAGGAATATCTTGGGACAATCTTTCTATCAGTTTATGGTAATATGGTATCTTCAGGCAAAAGGAAAAGCAATGTTTAATCTCGATGGCCCTGATTCTGATCTGATATTGAACACACTTATTTTCAATTCATTTGTCTTCTGTCAGGTAAGCTTTTAATAAGTACTCCTTGATACTCTTCAATATATTTTTTCACATACACAATTGCCAGAAGGTCTATTTTGTCATGCTTAGAATCAATCAGGAGGCATGAAAAATATCTATATAAACTTTGTATTTGGCCAAAATAAAGAAACTTCGTTAGGACTTCAACAAGGTTTTTGTTGAAAGGATTTATTTTGCCTGCTCCAAACTTAAAATGCTTAGGCTTCTCGGATAAGCATAACCAACTTTCTCTAAAGCATTTGGGTCTTTTCTTTCAATGATCTCTAAATAAGTTTCCTGAGTGTCTGCAATACTAGCTTAATCATTAGCCTAGTTCCGAATCTCCAAAGTGGTGCTATAATATATTTTATGTTTTTTTTTCCCTATCTCTTCATATTTATTAGGAAGGTTTGCAGTCTGAATTAATTCACCAAGTATTGATAATTTTATTTAGAACATTTTTTTTCTATTTATCTGATTGTACCACCAGCAATCAATTTCATATGCATTTTGAGCTATCTCAATTTCTGATTTTTAGTTTTCCCATTTTATTTAGTTATCTAGAATCTCTGCCAACATTTGTTCTTCTTCCACAGGTTTTCAATGAGATCAGCTCACGTAACATGGAGGAAATTAATGTTTTCAAAGGCATATTAGATAACTACGTTTTCGTGGCTGTTCTTAGTTGCACTGCCGTTTTCCAAGTCATCATCATCGAATTTTTTGGTACATTTGCTAGTACAACGCCTCTCAGTTGCTCACAGTGGTCCATAAGCGTGCTCATAGGATTCTTGGGCATGCCGATTGCCGCTGTCTTGAAGATGATCCGAGTATGAACCACAATAGATAATCACAGATGCTGTTTTTGTGAATGACATCGAGAAATAAAGCCTCGATATCCCTCCTTGTGTAGATTCATTATTTCTCTGTTGACAATAACTCATTTTTCTTGCAATCAAACAGGTAAACACATTGTTTAGGTGTCACCAATTTTTTCTTTTGGAAACATTTTCTGTATTGAATATTTTGTTTATAGGTCAAGCACAAAGTTGCATCTTATATTTTGTAATTCTTGTTCTTAATTTCCTCCCAAACGGAATCAGAGTTTTTGCCATATCCAAACATTCCAAATGTGAACGCCATGAATCTCTTCCTTCCTCCATTTTTAAATACAAAGGCTCGATGATTCATCGGGTTAATAACAGCTTAAAAATCGAAGAAATTTGAAGGCTTCGCGGAGCGAATAAACTCTGTGAACATCACTTTTTTCTTCAAACTCTTGACAGCAAAAACGATGCGAGGGAGAGTGGAAAACCTGAAGATTGGGCTTCATGGTTTTCAAAAGAATACAACATAGAATTGAACCAATTCTTTCAGACACTTGTTGACGGAGGCCCAAGTTTAAACTTAACTCATTCAACATTCATTCACTGGTAAGTAATTATTATTGTTAAAATTAGGGAGGTAAATGATATATCAATAGTTATAAATTATTCGAGATTAATTTAAATAAAATTTGAATTTGATTTAGTTATTATTGAGTTGAACTCGAACTTAAGTAGTTCAATTTATCAAGTGAGTTGAGTTTGAACATCTTAATGTTCTATTCGAAAAATTCACGAATTTAATTGAGTTTTTAAATTTTAATATATTTTTATTATTTTAATTAAAAATTATTATTTTAATTTTATATAAATCAATTCGAATTTGAGTTTGAATTTGAACATATAATCAAGCTTGACATCAAATATGAGGATTGAATTCAATTTTATTAAACAATTATAATTAAGTGAATTCGAACAATTCGATTTTATTTCAAATTAAACTCAAGCTTAAAAATTAAAATTCAATCGAACTCGAATTAAGTTTCAAGTAATAAATTTAAAATCAAACTTGAGTTTAAGATTTTCACTGTATTAATTCAGCTCAATTCGATTACATCATCTAATTATAACTTAAGAATTTATTTGTCTACTAAAAAAATTCATTTTTAAAGATTTCCACTCCAAGTATTGAGGTGGATGGGATGAGATTTATCAGATTGAAAAGAGTTATCAATTAAAGTTTTATTTTATATTCTAATGGTACATTATTAAAAAAAAAATAGAGATTCCAAATTTTAAGCACCTTTTTTTGTTAGTATATTTTCTCACTAATATTGATGTAATTCAAAACACATGCCATTTCATAATCCAATTTGATATTCAACCACTTTGTATTTCCTAACCTCAAAAAGGGGAAATACAAATGTTTAACAATATGGTCCATAACTTTATATACTTTAACATGGAATATTCAACAATGTGTTTAACCCTTGAGGCATCAACAAAATATCTTGCATGAAATTCAAACTGAAGGCATCATCACTTTTCCTTTAGTAGAAAAACAAAAAAAAATAAAGGATATTACTCTTTTCCTTTCGTAGGAAAAAAAAAATGAATCATTCTTAATCAAAATCTGGTCACTTCCCCTTCCTGCCTTGCTCCTGAGAACACTGTTTCTTCTCGTGTCCCAACCAGTAATAGAGACCAATTTTTCCTTAATAACAACAAAACTCTTGCTGTTTTATATGGATAATGATGCGATCAATTCAAACCCATGTTCATCTGAAAACATAGTTTGAATTTACGTAAGCCTGCATTCTTATCTTGATATTGAGATGAGCTTGTTTAATAAGATAAGCCTGGTTTTTGCTATGAATTGCTGACAAGTGAATATCAACTGAAAATAAAAAAGGTAGTCATGTCAATCCTTGAAGCAGCATTTATCAAAAGAAGATAAGTTCAATTGTGATGTTAAGCCAAGAAAACAGGCTTTTTATAGGTACATTTTTAGAGCTATGAGAACAAGGTTTTGATTTAAAATTTATCATTCAAACAACAATGTCTCCTTTTACAGAAGACCTATGATTTTGTCTCAACAAAAACCAGAATAAAAATTGCCGAAAACAATGCAGAAGAAAGAAGAAATGGAAAAATCTGCATGTATGGTTGACAGAATTCAGCAATTATTGCTGCCTAATTTGTTCGAGCAATGAATCTTTAACATCTATAGAGTCATTTGAAAATTTTTCTTGTAAATTTATGGTGAGGACATTAAAAACAAAGAACATGCGCAGTTCTAATGTTATTGCACATTGGCAATGGCATGTATGCAGGCACATTATCTCATTTTGATGGGCCATTGAACTTCTGGATATGACTGCTGCAGAGGAACCATATGTATATTCACAGGATACTTGGTAATTACTTGAGACTAAATTACAATGCTGTACGATGCTAGACTGGATATCCTAAGAACCCCCATGAAAGCATGTGGAAGGGTGGAGCCTCTGACACCCAATTTGCCAATTACCATGAAACTCATGCCCCACTCAATTCCCCCCTCCCCTCCCTTCCCAAATTTACCCCCAAACAAAGGTCTCTAACTCCATGATTATAACTTGGGTCCTACAAACATCAATCAAAGGGACCAAATATTAGCATTCACATGTTTAGTTGTCTTATAGCCGCGTACATAGGGTTGCACTAGGTTGCAGCTTTGAAGAAGGATGGCCTGTGATGTCAAAAAGAATGTTTGTAGCGATAACTTGAAGAAAAATATGTTTCATCAACTTTAATTGGTTTTATCTTTTTTGTTTTTGTGTTATTTTGAATTTTTGATGATGAAGAACCCCTTAGATAAACTTCAGTTAAGATATAGAAACTGCTTGAAATGAACCCGATTTCAAGAAAGAAAGTCTACGTTTCACCTCAAGATGACCCCATTTTATCAACTTCTACTCTCAAATCTTAGTATGTTCACAGTTTAGTTGGTATTGGTACACTATATAATCAAGGATTTTAAGCTGCAACATAATCACGCCCCCCGATCTTATTGCTGTTTCTACAATCAGGCCCCCCAATCTTATTGCTGTTTCTACCTAACCGTGAAAAGGAACTTCCCACTGATCTAAAAGGAACCCCAACATTCCAGGCAAATCCAACCACCCACCATTCACCTTTTTTAATACTTTGATGGCCCAAATGCAACACAGATATATCAAATCAAACAAAAACAATTCCTCATTCCTCATGGCTTTCTGCCTTTTGAAAGACATAGGAAGCATCCCAAGCCCCCCATCAAAAGGTAGGGTTCAAGGCTGCAAGTGATTATATTCAAGTATTCTTTGTCACAACAAAAAAACGGAGGAGGAAAAAAAATTGAAAAAAAAAAAGTGGGTAAGCAACAGTAGCATTCTTCAAAGCAAACAGTACAGAAAACGACTATCAACAGACAGTCTTCAATTGCCTGCTGGCATTCTCCTGGCATCACTTCCTGCTTAATGGCTTTCGGATTCGGACTTTCAGTCAGCTTCTGACTTCTTACTGTAGGATAAAGCTATCCCTTTTTATTTATTTACTTTTAACTTTTCTCTATCTTCTTGGTTGTCACAGGCTGAAAACTTTTGTTTGTTGTTGGAAAATGGAATCTTCAATCATCAACACCAAATCATAATGAAATGGCAGAAAACACTCGTTAGACTTGTAAGCAAATAATCCAATTTTTTTTTCTGTCAATCCTATCACTAAAGAGTATCAAACTCCATTCATTAGGGCCGACAGATTTTCCTTGCCAGGCTATTTTGATCAGACTCATTGAATTTAAGTTTTCGCTTAGTGCCAGCTCCAGTACTGACAGCAGAAGAATCCTCAGAAGATTTCTCAAGAGCATAATGTACTGATGAATAATTTGAGGAAATAACAAACTTTGGTGTCTTAGATCTTCTCATCTCTATTTCTAGCATCATATTATACCAGGAAAATATATGTTCCTGTTTCATCCAACGTAAGATTTATATTAGTATACAAGTGAAGTTACATGAATGCTGTACTTATTTGGAAAATTATATATGACAGTATGATACAGAATAGCAGACAGTTGAAAAAAGAAAGCTCACATTTTCTAGAGATCCCCACAATGAAATGAAATCCATCTTGAGCTCCATTGCCTTTCTTGTTAATCGACCATTGGAAGCAGCTAACGCTGCAGCTGCAGCAATAATAGATGGTCGATGATCCACCAAACTGATTTCTGCATCAAAAGATTCAATTCGGTAATAGAGTAAACACATAAAGATAAATTCATAAATTCCATTCAAAACTAAATTTTTTGGATTACCTTTTATCATAGCCACGATAAGTTCCAGAGCTTTGGAGACTAATCCTTTAGGCCTAGATTCACCATAAAATTTACGGATAAAATAATGCAAATAAGCAAAAGGTGTGACAGAAACCATCTTCCACTCTAAGGTGCTAAGTACCAATATCTCCATTCTCTGAATCACTTTATTCTCAAATTGATAATCTTCTATAGTAAATTCTGATAAAGCAGGTACTCTGCATTCTTCCATTTTTGATGCCAATGATAAACATGCCACGGACAACAATCGAATAGCCCACAATTTTCCATCCTATATCAACAAATATTATCTTCATTACAAAGGCAAACAAAAAACTAGCAATTGTTACAAAGTCAAACAAGAAACTCCATCTGCCCATTGTTTACAGAATTGAGAAAAGCTTACATCAATTGATTTCTTCGAAATAAATCGATCGAAGTATGTCACAGACAGATAAGCTGTATGAATTTGGAACCCAAAGGTTGCTCTTGTCTGAAAAAAGAACATATAAAAACTTGTTCATCAATCCAATACAAAATATAAAGAAAAAGAAGAAAAGAGATTAAAAAGAAACAGGGATAAAAAATAAAAGATTTGAAAGAGAAACAAACATTGAAAATCCATTCAATAGCATTCAAGCGAGCACATTCCAGCCAGCTTTTACTGGTAAATGGACAATCACTGAAACATGTATTATTTTTGAATCCCACGTCAGTTTCTCTTTGAAACAATTTTAAGATATACTCATCTTCATCTTGTGAAACAAAACACGATTTACAATAGTTCAAGTAAACACTTTCATCATCTTCTTGAAAAAAACAAGCTTCTTCAGTTTCTTGACATAAGAGACTAGAGCAAGAAAACGCACTGTCAAGCTCTCCCATTTGTCTCTCAATTCTCTGTACGTCACCAGCTGGAAAAATCTCAATTCTCAAAGAAAAGAACAAAAACAAAACATGGGTTTGGTCGTTTGTTTCCTACTTTGTATGTATATATATATAATATATATATATATATATATATCAAGTGTTGAATACACGTTTGAGGAGATTATGGAAAGTCTAGAGAAATGGGAATCTGGCAAGTACAAAAAGAGATGTGAGGACTGAAGAGGAGGGGGAAAAAGGAAGTTGTTGATGAGAGTTGCGGTTTTGGTGCCGCCAAAATTAGCGGATGAGATATAGAGAGGCGTTATGTAGCAGTTACTCACATTACATCACAGTGCTTTACACTGAATACCTTACTGTACAAATTAAAGTATAAAGATCAAGTATAGTTCTCGGGATTTTTTTGTAGGGTATCCCCAGAAAATCTCTTCTATATTATAAAATCTCTCCATGGTTTTGGAGATTGAAAGTTAATTATGAGAGATTATAGCATAAAAGTATAGACAAACTTTTTTCGTGTATTCCAAAAATCTAAGACCGCAGTAAAATTGGTAATGTTGTCTTTTTTTCCTATTATAAAAAACAAAAGTTTCATAAAACCTGGAGCATTTAGCTCACCTTATTCGCATATTTTTTATATTCAATAAATTTAAATTTTAATATTTAATATTTATTTTTTTATTCTTAGAATGTGATTTTTTGTAAAAAATATAAACAAAAATTTGAAAAACAAAAGCCTCACACTTGATAGATTCATTTCAATCATCATTACACTTCTTTTCTTCTTTGTTCCCTAATTGAAGTTCTAAAAATTATTTGAAAAAAAAAAAAACGTGTTAGAAAGAGTGTTTTATTTTTCATGCATTTAACACAACAAATGGTTTGATTTAGTCTATGTTTGGATACAATTGCACTTATTGTGAGATACAGTTAAATATTAATTTTAATAAATTTTATTCAGTATAAATTTTTTATTGAAATTTTTTTTAATTATAATTATAATAATTTTTATTATTATTTTCAATTTTATCAAAATCAATCTCACTTCTTATCAAAATGAACCATTAATAATGAAAATCTTAGAGAATTTTTTTGGATTTGTTTAGGTTTTTTCATTAGACAATACATTGATTTGATTGAACTAATTCACAATTCATGGTATTAGGGAAAACAATGGTACGACTTTATAGAATAGATCCTATTCAAGTAAGCTCGTGAAGAAATTTTAATGTTCATATCTGCATTATTCCATAACAGCTGTAAACGAGAAGAAATGGCAATGGCCCCTTAAACAAGTCATTGGAAATAAATAAAAATTACCTAAAAGGCTACATTGCCTTATAATAACATTCATTATTCATTTGCACATATTTATTCAATTAATTTCCTTACTGTTATTGATGTTCCTTTCAATTAGTAGGACACTATGAATAAGCCAAAGACCTTGCCAGAGACTTTCATTTTTTTCCCAATGAAAGGTTGGACTTCCTATATCAAAGATCTTAATTTTGTTGCACTCAAAAGGTTAGTTTGATAAATAAAATGTTATTTTCTTGTCTATTCAGATTCGATTCTTATAAGAATATCATTTTGAAAATAAATTACATTTTAAGTAAATTTTGAGAATATTTTTAATTGTATATAATTCGTAAAAATGTAAAAATATGAGTGCCGGTTGTAATTAGGCTGGGCAAAAAATATTAATGTCATTTATCTACTTGCATATATTATAAACATCAATTGGAATGATGGTCCAATCCTATAATATTAATAAAATACTAGAATCATTTATTATTTTCAACTTTTGTCAAGGTTGTTAGAACAGTCAAATGAGCTCACCACTGCTTAGCAACTTAGATTGACATAATAAATTAATCCTTATAAGCAATTGAGACTCATGTTTCTGACATATTAGACATTTTGAATTACTTAAAAGTTTATTAAAATTGGATGGTATTTTATTAAGTATATGACAATAATATTGAGCAGAGCCCATGAAAATAAAGTAAATTCTTTTCGAGGAGCGGGTTCTGAACCATGAGTTTATTTTATTGGCAAAACAGTGAAGTGAAATATGAATAGAAAAATGAAAGCAGGAGAGTACACAAGATCCAAAAACTGGCACTGTCAAAACTTAACAACTTCTTAATTTTTTTTGTACAAAAAATTATTTAAATTAAAATAAAATATGTCATATGAATAATTTAAAATAAATGATTAAAAATCGTACATTTAAATAATCTAATAAATAATCATCGATTGAATTCGAATCAAATATTTTTACATAAAAAAATAATTTTTATCAATTGAACTAATCTTCCAATTAAGTCAACCGCTTATTGATAACAACTTCTTGATTTCAGTTTATAAAATATGTTCTTAATTTCAAAAGTTTTTTGTCTGTTTTCTTTCATTTAGTATTTTTTTAATAACATTTTTTCTTTTACAATTCTAATGAACATGCAGATTTCATGTTACAAACCATGGCAATCATTAAATGTATCTATGTGGATTTGGTAGCAAATTGAAGGAAATGGTTGAAAGATATGAATACAAGCTGTAAGTCTTTAAAAAATGCTATCCTATTGAGGCATTGAATTTGAACTACTGGTGTAGTATTTATATAAATTTGGCAGCTAACTAAAGTGGGGTATAATTGAAAGTTATGAATATTAATGTTTCACCTTGGAAATAATTTAATCTATATATAATTCTTCATTTTTTTAGTTAGAAAATGCCCATATCTAACACAAGTAGCACACTCTATGTAACTTAATTTGAACCACCTTGAAAGTTAGATGAGTTCCTTCATAACAGTTTCTTTTTTCATTATGGTCATCTTAATTCTTAACAATATGAAATTTTCAACATAAGAATATTTAGCCAAATGATAGATGCATGATTTTCTACTCGAAAAACAGAGTTCAAGTTCCTCATATTTCAAATAAAAAAAAAAAGATATATGAATTTTAATTTCTGATCAGAACAAACTTTTATTTATTTTTTTTTTTAATTTGATTGATCAAGTATACGAGCATTGGACACAGAGATTAGTGTTTGATCCATTGAATAAAAAGTTAACAGGATTCTAATCTTTCCATAAATTAGATAAAAAGGTTTGGTTCGACCAACATAAGATTAGCCCCGTAAATAATTTTCCTTTCTCATGCTATTGTTTTTTTGAGGGATGGAACAAAAGACGCTCAATTCTCAAAATTGAGAAAGAAAAGAAAATGAGGGAGATTTGAAGTGGGGTAAAGGAGGGGACTGCTAAGGGAAAACAAGAAAAGTTTAGGAGTGAAAAAAATAAAAATTAATTTGAAATTATAATTTTTGATTTAGATCATGTCAGTTTTTATTTTATTCGATTTGGATTAAATTTAAATATTAAATATGTATATTAATTTTGGATCAAATTTTAAATTGAGAGATGAAAAATTAAATCAAATTAAATTATATATATTTTAATTTTTATATATTTTAAATATTTATAAAATAAAAATAATAATTTTATATAAAAATTTATTTTAATATTATTAAAATAACATATAAAAAATTATAATTTTAAATTTTAAAAATAGATAAATTAAATCAAATTAAATTGATAAAATTTAATTTGATCGATTAAAATTATATAAATATCCAATTCAAATTTAAATTAAACTTAAAAATTTTTTACTTTAAAAAATTTAAATCGAATTCTATCAATTATTGGTGGGAGAAAGGCATTGATAGAAGGGTATGATAACACACGTGAAGATATTTGCTGAGGAGATCGGGAATGAGGTGAGGAGGAGCGTCTTCACGTGCAAAAGGCCCGCTGGACCACTCCAGACCACACCACTCGAGTTTTATATGAACATGAAGACGCTGCTCCTCCATCCAAAGTTTTGACCCCCTCCAACCTTTTGCCTTTGGCCCTTTCCCAACCCTCTCCCACTTATGGAAATATAGGATTATTATTGCCATGAACTATAGTTTATATATATATATATATATATATATTCACAGTGCTGCATTTGCAAGGATGTTGTTTTTGCTTGGATCTTAGTTATGAGGACTAAAAAACTCGACTGAAAAATTTTGGGAACTCCAAGATGGTCAGCAACTTTGACTGATCTGTAAATTTTTAGATGTCCCTTTACTTAAAATTCTCATGGCATCAGCTATGTGTTTTGTTAATAAATAGTTAGTTTAATTGATTAAAATTTATTTTTTTATGAAAAAATTTTAAATTTAAATTTTTTTAAAGAAATTATTTCGAATGCATAATTATAATTAATTTATAATTCTCTTCTTTCGTTTCCCCTTTCCTTCGTCTAAGCAAAAAAATGGGAACTATGCATACACGATTCTCAATTAATATAAATACCAAAATGTTTTCAATTAATTTTAATTTTTTTTTAGAGTAGAAAAATTAAAAGTCTAATTATTTAATAATTTCTACTTAAAATTAAATATTAAATTTAACAAACATATTATTTTTAATACTTTAAATTCTCAATAAAAAAACATATTTATCAATACAGTTTTAACCCCAAATAATGTATTAATTGCAGACTAATATATAGACATTTGAAAAAATAATGCAATGGATTGTATCAATGGTGTCGTGGTGTAGTTGGTTATCACGTCAGTCTAACACACTGAAGGTCTCCGGTTCGAGTCCGGGCGACGCCATTGCATTTTTTAAACCTTCATTTTTTTAGGTTTGGGCCAGGCAGCTATGATCATGATCCATGTCTAGGCCCCTATCAAAATCTTACAGCCCAGATGCAAGTTTACAATTTTCTGGGCTAATCCAAATAGATACCTTAATTTCTCTGTCTTTTGGTCCTTGGTTCCTTGTTTTCATCGAAAGTTGATAAATACATTATTTTCTTAAATCAATTAATATATTATTAAAATTAGCAACTTATATTATTTATATCATTATATTATGTAAAATATTGTTTTCGTATTTTACATAAAATTTATATATAATAATTTATGTCAATACGAAAATATACAATCTAATTTTTTAATTTTATTAAATTTATTTATAATTTTTTTAAAATTTTAAATCGTGTTATTTTTATATATTTTATTTATATTATTTTTATATTATATATATTATATCATATTTTAAATCATCATATTTACTTAAAACTTATAAGTTCAAAAAAACTTATCCGAATAATGTTTTTTCAATCAAGTGAATAGTGGAGTAGAAAAATTTAAAGGTAAATTAAGAATAATAATAAAAAAAAAAAAACAGAAGGCCGATAATGGCTGACAAGGAAAATCCGGGCTTCAACTTTATCACCCGCCTTTGAAGGGATGAATTCCTTACTATTTATCAAATTCGCAAGGGACCAAAGAGTTGAAATTTTTTGCTGATCCAAAGCTGCGAAAGTGTAATGTAGGTTAATTGCCATTTACCACCAAAAAGAGTCACTGTTATTCTTTCTGGGGGAATCAAGTTCGCTTTTGCAAATTTCTTCCTAATTACCACAGCTTGTTCTTAAATAATACATTCTGAAATACTTAAATTCAAGAAACATTTTATTTAAGAGATTAGAGGATAATTTTAAAAGAGGGAAATAAGTTATAGAACCTTAAAATATTTTATAAATATATCACAAACAAAAAATTATATCAATCTATTAAAACCGAAGTTAAAATTTCAATATATATAATTTTTTAATTCTTAAGTTAAGTGTTAAGAATATTTTTGGATCTAAAAAACATTTTTATTTTTTTTATTAGAGATTGTTAACAAACAGTCAGATGCATTTTAAATTTTTGAATCAATTTAACATATTTTATATCACGTGAACTTAATTACAAATTATTATTATACTTTATAAATCATTTATATTTTGTCTATAAATAAAGATATTCATATAATATCATTTCATTTTACATCATTTATATATTTTTACTTTCTCTCATTTTGATTTTTTTTTATCAATTTTTAATTTATGCGTTAGAGTGTAAATATAAGAAATATCCCTCTTTACTTTTAATCTTTTTTTTTTACTTATGATCTCAAGATTTTATTTTTAACTCGAAGCTCATCACCGATATTAAAATTTTTTTTTACTAAAAAATTATATCAACCAATAATTTGATCTTAGCCATAAAACAAGTTTCATAAATCTAATAATATTATCGATTTATCTTGGATATGTCCACCCTTCGATCACTTACCATTTAATTTCAAGAAAAATGGAAGCTTATATTTTTTTTGGCTAAAAATGGAAAGCATAATTTTGATGGTAAATCATTTGATGAACCCTCACACCCTGTATAAATTTTCGTACCCAACTTTCCTACATAAACCGAAACTTCCTCGTCATTGAGTTAGGAAGAAAACCCCAAAAAAAGAAAAATTGTGTTGGATATGGGCATATGTGCCCAATCAAACACGAAAATAATGGCAAAATGTCTTTGTACGACAATTGTTTGTCCTAAACCGTCAAACGAATGAACCAACAAAAAAAAAATGGCATCGCCCGACCGCTCGTTTTGCCATACAGGAAACAGTTAGCTGTAATAAGAATTTATCTAAACCGTTTGAAACTTGAAACAGTTAATATTTTTAATTTTAATCAAGATGGGAAATTAGATGGTGGGGCGGTGGCGGTGAAGCTCGGTGTTGGCAGCATTTTTTGTTTGTTTGGAGGAACAGAAACTGGCGGTGGTTAATTGAATTTCTTTCAAAAGGGAAGCAAACGGGAAAGATGGAAATTATTACGAAGCAATCTCCTCTTGGTGCCAATAATGTTTCTCCAGCACCACCTCCATTACCAGGTCCATCAACAAACTGTAGGCGGAAGGGGTTATTTATGAACAATGGAACAGCAATAAGAGGAAACAGCTGTGTTTCCACAGCCACAAGGGATTTGTGGGATAACCTTTTTAATGGAGGTTATAGAGCAGATGTTACCATTAAAACTGATAATGGTGGCATCATCTATGCACATGCTAATGTTCTTGTAAGCCCTCCCGATTTTAACGATACTAAAGGCTTGTTTCATATCATCAATTAACGGATGTTATGCTTTGAGAAACAGTTGGGGCTGTGACATTGCTTTATTTAGTTCATTAGCATGCTTTATCCTTTTGGCCTAATCTGCAGAATCTCTCTTTATCTTTTTGGGATCAAGATGCTTTGTCTTTAAATCTATAAGAAACTTAAACAAATTATTGACTCAATCTCTTCTCTGGAAATTTACCAACAGGGTATGGCTTCTCCTGTCTTAAGAGGGATGTTGAAACAAGCAAAAGGGTTTGGTCAAAAAAGATCAATTTCAATCCATGGTGTTCCGCAAGATGCAGTTCGGGTTTTCATCCGATTCTTGTACTCTTCCTGGTAACTACTCTTTTCTCATTGCAGATTTTGTGCAATACAGTTTTGTGAACCAGCATGCTAGTTATCTTGACACTTATGAAGGACTTTAAATTAACTTCATGTTCAAACTAAAGGAACTAAGTTTTTGGTAAAATAATGGAACTGTCAAACTGCTCTTTGCTTGTTCAGTTTTAAGACCAGTAAAAGAAGAAATTAGGGTCACTGAGATCTTGTGGTTGCATCATGCTACTATGTGCTAAATTGTTATTGGTTTTTATTTTAGTTATGAGAAAGAAGAAATGAAGGAATTTTTCGCGCCATTGTTGGTGCTGTCACACGCATATGTTGTTCCTCAGTTGAAGCTAATTTGTGAACAGCAACTAGAGCATGGCTTGCTTACTCTAGAAAATGTAGTCGATATCTTCCAGCTTTCATTACTGTGTGATGCACCTCGGCTTTCACTGATCAGTCACCGAATGATCCTAAGGAATTTCAAGGCTATTTCTGCTACTGAAGGATGGAAAGCAATGAAGAAGAGTCATCCAGCACTTGAAAAAGAAATTGTGGAAACTGTGATTGAAGAAGAAAATGCAAGGGATTTCTTTGCAAGGCTGTTTCCCCTTGTTATTAGCACTTTGATCTTAAACTCTAACGTCAATGTTAAATGTAATTTCCAGATGCAAAAGGAGAAAATCAGAAAATCAAATGAGCGAAAGATCTATCTTCAATTATGTGAAGCAATGGAGGCTCTTGTTCACATTTGCAGAGATGGTTGCAGGACAATTGGTCCACATGATAAGGATTTCAAAAAGAACCAGATACCTTGCAATTATGGAGCCTGCAAAGGGATAGAACTGCTTGTTCGTCATTTTGCTGGTTGCAAGTTGAAAGTCCCTGGTGGCTGCATTCATTGCAAAAGAATGTGGCAGCTACTGAAGTTACATTCCCGTCTCTGCGCAGATTCAAATTCGTGCAAAGTTCCTTTGTGCAGGTACTTAAGTCTATTGTTCTTGCCCTCTGATGACATGCTTGATGTCAATTTGTTCACTAAAAGAACTAATCAATCTTCATAAATCAGTTAATTGTGCAGTCTATTTCTTCTGATAATTGAGAATATTGAAACTCAGCCTTTCATTTCAGGACTTTCAAGGAAAAGATCAGGAAGCAAAGGAAAAAGGATGAGATCAAGTGGAAAATACTAGTGAAAAAGATATTGAGAGCAAAGAGAACTAGAGAGGCGCACCGTTCTTTGTGCCCTCAAATTCCATCTCTTCATGAAAAACAGTCTGGTCTCTTAGTTCCTGATTCACTCGTAAATTTAATTTAACTTTGTGGCTTGATGTATAAAATTACAAAGAATCACTCCCTGCCCAACAGCCTGTTTTCTTCTAGTTCATTAGCAGCTTGAGAAGTGATATGCAATTTACATTTTTCATCAACTTGGTAACCTTATTAAAGAAACAATAATTATTAACAGAGATAACTTCTCAGACTAGAAATCAGCTTTTCCAAGATTTTAATCAAAGATGGGATACTGCCAGTTAGTGAAAAAGTTCAGATAGGTGAAATGAGGGAAATTTTCTTGATGAACCAAATTGAAAGGTTTGATTTGAAAGATTTTTGTCAGGTTGTTTTGACAAAAATTGATGATGTCACATTCATCCATATCTAATTATGTTTTTTTGATTCTTTTTTGTCTTTTTATCAAGCATCAACCTTGGTGATGAATTACATGTGACAAAGAACAAGAGAAACTCCATTTCTTTTTTCTTTTCTTTTTTTTTTTTTACCGTGAAACGAAGCACAGTCATTCTTAAACTCCATTTCATCAACATTCTGATAAAGGCAATGGAGGAAACAAGGCATCATCAGAAACAGGGCTTTTAAACTTCTCCGGGTATAATAAATTTTTAGTTCACTTTTAAAGCTTAGTTTTGTTACCTTATCCTAATATAGAAAAATCCATGACATAGCAAAAATCTTCTATAAAATGGGAACTGTGTTTTTAGTTCATTCTGGCGTTTTAGCATTCATTGGTGTGATCATTTCTGTGTTTTTTCTGTTTTAGTTTCATGCCAATAACATTTCATTTGTTGCTTTACTCAAAAAAGTAATTTTTCTATACCAACTAGAAAAACCAAAACTTGAGATACAGAATTAGAGATAGCCCGAAAGTTCAAACCAAAGCAACGTTGCAAAACTGCTAGATCTATTATTAGTTATTATCAAATAAATGCAGACAATGGCATAAAAGTAATATAAAAATTTCTTCTTTTACCTAAAAATGTATAGGAACCTGATCTAAAAATGTGTTGAAGTAGACAGAAAATATATGTTGCGTCTTTGTTTCTTTGGACAGGCATGACATGCTCTTCATATGGTCATCCTTTTCATTTCCGGATGTAGATGATGGTACCCTTCAATTTTCCCACAACTTCTCCTTATTATTACATACTTTCTGGCCTGTGGACACTACAGGGCTTTCCATTCTTATAAAAAATTAGCAAAATGAGATTCTTCTTATGGAAAAGGGCGCACCTCATCAGCCAATAGCTATGTCTCCACGTGAACTTAAAATTGAGTTGCTATGCTATGCTATGCTTTTCATTTCTTCATTATTTTACTTTTTGCATGCTTGTAGGGAAAATGAGACATATTTGTGCTGTTGGTTCAGTTGGAAAAAGACTCTAACCTTGGGAGTAAGAGCTACTTGGATTTTCTTAGGACCTGTATTCACACAACTTCATGGAGACAAGCTTTCGTCATCTGAACTTCCATCTTGTTTCACATTGTACCTGCTAAGAACTGGTAGTGAGGCAGTTGCAGATATCCGAAAGGATCTAGAAGAACCCACCATTGTTCTATCCTGCATTCGTCCCACTTCCTTGCAGACATGATCCAATATTGACAGGAAATCTCTCACAATCATGAAGATTCTGAAAGGATGAGCTTCTTCCTTAGCTGCATTCCCATGAAAATATTCAGTAACTTCTTTCACAAGCAATAAAGCTTTTCTTTCTTCTGCCTTGATCTTAGCAATCTCCTCTTCAGCATCTCTTAGAAACATCTTCATGGAGTTGAAGAAATTCCCCTGCATATCTGGCTTCTCATACTGTAAAATCAATCCCACCATCTCAAGTCCCATTTCAAGCTTTGACACATAACTGCTTAGGACATCCGAGTCCATTCCTGCTGCCTTCTTGACATTGCTGAGGTCTCTGCTCAGCCCAGCCACAACCTGCAATCCTTGCTTCCTGAAATCATCCTCCTTAATGTTGGAGGACATTTTATTTTCAAGATTCCCATTCGTAGAGTTAGTACCAGCACCTTCAGATCTAATGATCTCCTGAACCACAAAGTGTAGTAGTGTTGTTTTCCCATCTGTTCCCTTTATATCAACAAGTTTCAAAAGGGTATCAAGTTTAAAAGCTTTAGCATCACCACGATTGGTGCCAACATTCATCCGGTTTCCAGTCCTGAGAACAGCTTCAAGAAGTTTGAGGAATAACCTGCTGTTCTTCAATTCCTCACTTGCTTCCTGAAAGTACATAGAGAGAAATTAATTTATAGGAGCCTTTACCAGAGACGTTTTGGATTTTTTTTTTTTTTGGGTGAAAGTCTTAGGGTATTTAAATCACAAAGCATTGAGCCTTATGAATTTTAATACCTCAAGGGTTTGAAAAGACTTCCTCAAATATTTTACTTCTGTATCAAAGTTGGCTCTATAGAGCATGGCCTCAACTCTTCTGAAGGCAAAGGGGATATCAAGCACTATCTTGAGAAATCTTTCTGCAGATCCTAGTTTCGAGATGTCCCCATTGTATTCTCGTAGTTTTATTTCTTCCTCCTTTGTTGGAGCCATCTTTACCAAAGTCTCCAAAAGCTCAGCACCTAAGCTTTCTGGGTTACCTGTTTACGCGAACAGAACAGCATGTGATGCAGCAAACTAAAATTCAAGATATAAATAGACAATTATTTGCAAATTGAGGTCCATAATTGGCATCTCAAAGAACCTTTTCGTCTTCTTTCCTTGATCTATATAATTCTATATATGTAGCTTACTTCTGGTGTTGTCTTATTTGATATATCTATATACTTCCGCTCATGTACAAGACCATTTTTTAGTCGAGGGATAGATCGGTATATTTCAAACAATAAATTGCTAAGACATTTCTGATGAAAATATAATTTAAATCGTGCCAGGTGCTCCTTTACTTGCTAATCTCAGTTGTCTATGTGGTTGTCATCATAAATTGACAGACTGATCATCAGTGTTTCAGGTTAGTTTTGTTAGAAGCATCTCTAAATAAGTTTGAAACAAGGATCTACAGTTCTTTCATTTTCTATTGAGGTGATAGTGAGTCACTTCAGAAAATAATTATCAGGGAAACTTTGACACTGCCTTGCTTGAAATGATCATTCAAATACCATAGCGAATTATGTCACCTTTTTTGAAGGAATTTCAATATCATAGCTGTAAGTGACCCTCTAATCTCAGTGCAAGCAATTCCAATAGGTTGGTGCAGAGTGTTTTCTAGAAATACAGCTTGCAGTCAATAAGGCATTAGAACCTAGGGATAACTGGCTGGAGCAGAAGTGACATAACAAAAGTATTTTGTAAATGAAATTGAAATGAGTCAATAATCCTTGCCTGGAAAAAGAAGGAATGAAGAAACACGTTGAACTAATCTAAATGAAAAACAGAGACACTGGTAATTTAGGTAGACACTGGTAATCTAATGCTAGCCGGAGATACAACCCAGATTTCGAAATTTAAGGAACTAGAAATATATTTTCTGAAATGGCGTGTGAGAATATGTTTGACGCTTTGAGCTCAAGAACCTATCTGCAAATGACACCAGGTTGCTAAAACGTGGTTCATTATATTTTACTCCAATCTCAAATTCTCAATGCTCGTCGGTAAATGGAGACCCCAGCAGCAAGTTTCCAATTGCTATGTTTCTTTGGGAGAAGTGAAAACCAAATAGTACTACTAAGAACCTGATTACCGATAGAAAATGGGAAAGAATGGTACTTATGACTTACCATCCAAAAGAGCTTCTGACACCTCATCTCGCGTAACATTCAGTGCTCTCAACAATATGGCAATGTTCTGCGACTTCTTTGGATCCAACACTCTGTTTTCCTGTTCAACAGGAGGCAGAACTGATCTTCTAATAGGTTCTTTTGGTACTGAACTCGTGGAATTGCAGCCAAATAGAGTCTCCATCATGTCCTCATTCAATCTGCGAACATGCAAGATTTTTTTCCTAAGATTAGAGATTGTACTTGAAACTGAATCCAAAGACCGGAAATGTACAAGTTTTGTCACTTACTGAAATGAACTTGATTTTAACTGGTCCCACACTGTAGCTCTCTCCGAGGTTGCTCGCACTTTGTCCCAGTGCAAAGGCTTTAACTTGGGCTTTGCATTATCCCTGTCATCCCCATTTGTCTTCTCTGAAGAACTGGCACCTTTATAATTGACCTCTTCCATGGATTTTCGAGTCCCACTCACCGCACTACTTTTGGGACTTGGAGTCCAGGACTCTTGGTTTTTCAACACCTGGGCAGGTTTTGGAGACACATTGGTTTTCAAAGACCTTACTGTCCTTGGTATTGACGGTCCTGCTGCTGCTGCTGCTGGCGGCGGAGGGGGTGGTGGTGGCGGAGGTGGGACTGGGACTTTTGTTGATTTTGGGGACGAATTGTTGCTAATTGATCGAAGCAGTGCCGTATTTGGAGGTGGTGATGGGGAGGAGAATTTTGGCCTTTTTGCATAAGTAATTTCTCGAGTCTTATGTGGTTCCTCTGCTAAACCTTGTGGTTGTTGAAGAGGCAGCGATGGAGAAGGAAGAGAAGGCTGCTGCTGCTGCTTTATTGAAGGTACAATAACATGCTTCATTTCTGGTGAAGAAGCTAAAAGCCTTGTTTTTGGAGATGTTCTTTTGGAACGAGGAACAGAATTAGTATTCCCATTTGTTTCATTCCTCACCGGAGTTACCAAATTGCTATTAACCGGGCGTGAAACCGGAGTATAATAGCTTTCTTCATTGCTGATTGTTGAGCCCTGTGGGGTATAAAAAGCTGTACCCTGACTCTCTTCATCTGAAGATGATGAAGATGACATTGCAGTTGGTGAATTCTCAAGTGTAGGAGGCTTAGCCAATGGAGGCAATGGTTGTAATTCTGGACTCGGCCTATACCGATCGGATCTCTTTAGTGAAACTAATTTATGATTAAGTGAACCATTTGCTCCTCCATTCACTTCACTCACCGATCTCCTACTCGGCTCCACCGTTCCAATGTAAAGAAAACTCGAGGGTGGCACCCTGGAGTCTTCTTGGAACCTTTCTGAGTTCCCTCCAACAACTTTGTGCGTCTCTCCAGGTTGTTTAGCCCTGTGCCGGTACAAAAAGAAAGCAAGTCCGGATAACATTCCCAAAGTGACAATCCCAACGGATATTGCAATTGCAACCTTTTTAGATGGTTTGGCTGGTTGTGTTGCAGCAGCGATTGGAATTGAGCCATTGGCTGGTGCAGCTGGTGATGGAGTCTGTTGATTCTGATCTGGGGTCTGCCCCGGAGGAACTTCAGGGAAGAATGGCTGACTAGTGTCTGGAAAAACAGGACTATCCGGCGGAGGTGGTGGAGGTAAAGAATTGTCGGTGCCTGGAGGTGGGGCTGAACCAGCTGGAAACAATGGTTGGTGTAGAATCCTTCCATGAATAACAGGAGAAGAAGAAATTTTTGTTGTTGATGTAGACAATGATAGTAAGATAAAAATGAGGCTCAAATGATGAGCTCTCATGGTGAACTTTCCTGGGTCGAAGATCTTCTTCTCTTCTTTACTTCTTTCTCTAAATTCATCTCTGGTGGGAGGAGTTTGTTTCTCCCCTTCGACCCTTTACAAAAAATATATATGCAAAAAAAACACAACAAAGAAATAGAAAATAAAATTAAAAAAATCACTTTGTTTGAAAGATAAAAATAAAGATAGAAATAGAAAGAGTGAGAAGCATTTCATTCTTAATTGAAAATGATATATTTTTTTGTTATAAATATTAAATTGTAAATTTTAAATTTGTTAAATATCAATTTTTTAATTTAAAAAATAAAATTTAATACTCTGACTAAATATTGGCAACTACTTTAAATTAGCCATCTCTCAAACTCAAAATAGGTATTTCCCTCAATTATATTCTTTCAAAATCTTTTAAAATCTACCTTCAAATATATTCATTTAATTGCATATTAAAACCTTAGTATTTTTCTTTTTAATCTATTTGGGGATCTTGCTTTAATGCTTTTCTTGGTTGATCTCTGATTTGATGACTAAAGATGGTGATAATTCAATTATGCACAATTATAACATCTTGTATGTGGAATTGTTGAGCTACATCATAATTATTTTCATAACAATAATGGGAAGTTTGTTATGGAATAGCGTAAAATGTACGAGAAGAATTTAAGAAATAAAAATAGATAAAGGACTTGAATGTATTTTTAAAAAAATTTAAAAAAAGTACGATAGGTGAGTCGCGTCAATTAACCTTTCTTCTTTCAAACGTTTTTTTTTTTTAATAATTTATTAATTCGTTTATTTATTTTATATAAAATATTAATAATTTATATATTTATATTATATTTTATATAAAAATTATATATAATATAAATAATAAATAAAATATATTTTAATTTTATTGAATTTATATATTACTTTTATTAAAATTTTAAATATTTTTTTTATAATTTAAATATCATTGTACGTTATTTTGTTTTAGGTCATCAAATTTATTGGTTCATCCACCGACCCTGTCTCGCTGTTGTTGGGGCCGGATGGGGTACATGCACACGTCCTATGGCCTTTGCTTTTTCACTTTTCTTTTTATCTCTTTTTTCTGCTTTGGCTGTACCTTCAAATTTGATTTGTTAACAGGAATTGGGATGTGACCACCGAATTGGGATATGACCACCACTTTGAAAGACTAGTGTTTTTATTTGAATTTAACTACTCTGTATAAACATTATTTTTTCAAGCATGGTCATGATATTTTAAAATTAGGTTAACGTTACGAATTATTTTTTAAATTATAATAAAATATCTAATATAATATTTAAAGTTTAAAAACTTTTAATATAATATCTAAATTATAAATATATTAATTAATATAATATTTAAAAAATTATTTTTTCATTATGTGTTATTATTTAAAGGTAATTACATTAGAATTAAGTATTACATTAATTAAAATTATAATTCATATATTACATAAAAAATTTTTAAAATTTAAATATTTCATTATAATTTAAAATTTATTTATAACGTTAATTTTTTAAATTTTCATTTGAATTTAATTTTTTTTCGAATAATTTTAAATATATATATTTTATACTAATGAAGTGCATTCAAGATTTTATTATTCAAATACTTCTTATAAAGATTAAACCATAATTGATAAAAAAAAAAAAAAAAAGTCGTGACTTTATCAACTAGACTAATTAACTCGTTTTTTTCAAATCATAGGATATTGCGTTACTATAAAATTATAGCATTTACTACTGTATCAATTATTTAATTTTAGTACATGTGATATTTATTTATCAATATTAGTTTAGAAGCAAGAAGTTTCTAATTCTATGTCCTACATTTAGTTCTTTGGTCGATTAAGAGGACAAACAGCCGAATATTTTGCTGCCAATGTGGGCATTACTGTTGGGAGCATAAATTTTGCTACATACTTATTGAGGTTGGTAGAGCAATACAAGGCAATAACTACAATATTAAAAAACAAAGGATATAAAGTTTATTAATTTTGCCATATGCTACAGTCAACTCAGTCATATTGGCCATAACAAAATTGTACTAAATTTGTCAATAACCACGTGGTGTGTTGATAGGTTGTTAGATTTTTAATTTTAATGATTATAATTTTAATTTTAATTATTTCAAATATATTAAAAAAATTGTATTAGAATTAGATACCACTTCTTTGTTTGTTTGCTATTATACCATTAAAGGGATTTTATTAATGTTCCTTAACGATTTATTTTTTCATCGATTGTTTTCACTTCCAATATAAAATTAATATATAACATGAAAATATAATATTAAATCATAATATAATGATAAATCGTTGGATGAGTGAATGTTATTAAAGAAAAAAGACCTTTGGAGATGTTTAATTACTGCTTCAAGTTAAATCATAAGACTTTAATTAATAAAAAAAAAAATTGCAGGGCAAAGGGGAAACCATCTGTTTGGTGCGTGCTTGATGGCTCTAAAAATCACACTAAAAAAAACATAAAGGAAAAAAAATGTTTTGATGAGATTAATTTTTTATTATTGTTAGATAAATTTAATAATTTAAAATATGATATTGTGATATAATATAAATATAATTTGAATAAAAAATATAAAAATAATATAATTTAAAATTTTAATAATTATTATGTATAAATTTAATAAAATAAAAATATATTTTATATATTGATATTAATATAAATTATGATATATAATTTTTATGTAAAATATAATATAAATATATTATTTTAATATTTTATATAATAAAAGGATGAAAAAACATGAAAATGACTAAAATCACAGCTTTGAATTTGTAAGCTTGAACAGGTAGAAATGCTTGGTTGTTTTCCTCTAGGAAAAAGGCTGGCAATTGAGTGGGATTGGTCATGGTCTAAGATAAAGACATCTGTCCTTTTGTTATGAGTTAGCACTTTCCAGTCATCTGCCCTATCCCTACGCTGTAGTTTTAGGAAAGATTGGCCATTGCTGTTAGGTACTCCAATTCTTTGTTAATTGCAGAGTATTGTTGCGTGAACTTTATCTGAATTATTTGCTTTTGTTATCATGTAATTTGATTTTTAAATTATATTATTTTTAATGATTTAGTAATTATAGCGAAATTTATTATTAAATATTAAAAATTTATTTTCCTCAAATATTTTACTTTATTGATTAATATTATTAATCAAAATATTGACATAATAAATATTAATTAATAAAAATATATCATGCGTCATGGTATTATTGATTTTTTCATCATATTAAGTTTTTTTTATCGTTTCATAACAATTTATTTTTAATCAAATTAGTATGTGAAGTAAAATATTTGATGAAAAAATTTTAAAATAATCGTGAATTTATTTTATAAATACAAAATCAGAAAAGTAGAGTATGTGAATGAGACGTTAAGAACTGTGTTTGAAGAGTGTAGCAGAGTCGACGAATTTGGTGCATAGAGTGGAAGACAAGAAAACCTTTTTCTTTTCTTTCCTTCACATTACTAAGGCATTTCTAATTCACAAGGCAAATATGCGCTTTCTTTTTTTTTTTTTTTTTGCTTTATTCCCTTTTGGTTCCCTATGTTCTAAAGCAATACTTAATCAAGTAGCTTTGCCTACTTAGTTGTAATCTCAGTCTCCTTCAAATATTATTCAAAGGGCAGTTATATAAATGTATAGTAATCCAGTTCTTTGGAGTCAATTCTTTTTTTCTTTTTTGTTTTCATTGATATTGAGAATGCACCTTATTTTCTTACCTTTTCATCAAACTCTATCCCTTCCAAAAGGGATAAAGTATAAGAGAAAATAAGTACTATAAAATATATAAATTTTCTTTTATTGTTGTCCTTGGATTAATGATTCTTACAAGCTAAGATTGCTTGCAATTGGCTTGAAACCATGCACAAATTAAATAATATTTTTAAAACCAAAGTATGACTTAAAGATAGTTTAATTGGTACTCATAAAATTTTATGACTTAAAGATAGTTTAATTGGTACTCATAAAATTTTTTTATAGTATATTTGGATTGATGGAAGAAAAAAGAAAAGAAAGTAAAGTAAAGGAATGTAAAAGAAACAAAATTCCTATTCTTTGTTTAGATAAATTTTTAATTTAAAGAAAAAAATGTAAAAACCAAATAACCTTTAATTTTTTTTGTAAACTCAATTTTTTTAATATCTCAATTTAGAGAAAAAGTTAAGGAAATGAAAGTTAAAAAATATTTTTTTATAAAAAGACTATTATGTCTATCTTTTTATTAATATTAAAAATCTAATAAAAAAATTTAAGTGGATCACAATCATCTTATAATTTTTTCAAAGCCATCTATTTTTTCAAATAAGTTTCACATATCTCTTTCAATATAAAATTTTTTATAATTTTTTGGTAATTTGATTTTGATGAATGGTTGAATATAAGTAGATATATTTTTTGAATTTATGAGATGATAGACTAGCTCAAAATTTATCAATATATATTTATAAAATAACTTCTTGTTTCATTTGATTAAAAATCATTTATATAACAGCAATTGTGAAACTAAACAAGATAATAAATATATCATGTTTCAAGAGTATTTTAAAATCACAGACAATTAAATGTTATAATTAAAAAAAATTATTATAATGATCATTTTTTTTGTACTTTTTATCCAAATAAGGATTGATAGAATTCTTTTACTTTACTTTTTTTTATTAACTTTAATTATCCAAACATAGCATTAGAACAAAGTTTTAATTTCAAACATTGTTTCTTTTTTTTTTTTTAGTGTTTGAGATTATCGGGAATTGAATTTTTATCACTAAAGTTAAGAATTTAACATTCTTTCAACAGATCAATCATTAACTTGTTATCTCTTAATTTACTTTTATTTATAAGACAAATAGGGACCCTAAAATTCTTTTAAAACAATATTAGAGAGCTAGACTTGTGGGAAGCACTTATTGAAAGTGATCATCAAAGATGGTCCATGAGATTTAAAAAAAAAAAAAAAGTTTGGACTTTTTGGAAAATTTGGGCATTTAATATAATTCCCATTGTGAACTACGAAGAAATTAACCCTGCAAGTTTCTTATGTTTAGCTCTTTATTGAAAAATCAATAATAAGACTAGGAGAAGGTTTAGACTTTGCCCAGCCTATGAAATTATTACTGTGACATTTTTTTTGGTCGTACCTGCAAAGAGCTTAAAAAAATCCTCAAGTTGCCAAATGGGCCTAAAGGCCCAATTTCACAAATGTGGCAATGGGTGGGTGGCTTGGGATATGTTCGTTTTGTGTTGTTGGATAATCCGACGTCGTTTTTGTATTACAAAGTAACAATGGTCCCACTCTAGATACTCTCCAAGTTCTGTTGAAGAAAATACAATTATAGAATCGATTCCATAAAACAGAAGAGAGAAGGACAATTCTCTCTCTATAGAGAGTGTTGGGGTGGGCAATGGGCACTGCAAAAGCCCACACCTCCCACACCGATGCACGGTCTTTTTGCTCTTTGGTTCCACGCGTCCCAATGCTCAGTACGAAAATTGACCCTTCGCTTCGATGTAGATATAATAGATCTTGCTGCCCAAATTTTTTGCTAGTTTTCTGTTGTTTTGGCATGCAATAATGCTTTACTTGCACTCCTTTAGGTGTTGTAGTCTTGTACTCAGGAGTTTGGTGAAAAAAGCAGATGGAAAATATAGGTTAGTGTTGTTTTAAGGGTACAATCATACAATCATCCCTTGGTGAACATTTGAACACTACTAAGAGTAAAACCTACTTAACTTGCACAGAATCAGGGAGGGAGGGAGGAGAGTGAGAGACAGGGTTGAGTTAAAGGGTTTTCAAGAGTGTACCCAAGCGTTCAACTCAACTTCAACTCAAGTTCATCTTCAGATCTTTATTGCGTAAAAAATGTTGAAGATGGGGTTAATCTTTAGCTTTTCCTTTTTCTGCTTTCTGGGTCTTACGGGTAAGTAAATGAATAAAACTTAAAAACCCAAACTTTTAGACATTGAATGCTTCCTTTTCATGCAAAATGTGGGTTCTTTTTCTTATACATCTTCATCTTTTGAAAAATTTTCATGTTCTTTATTTGCAGGTGCTGGTCAAGAATCTATTGAATACCTTAAGCTTTATGACACAACTCCAGAGGTTATTTATGCATTATCTCACAGTGATCTTCCTATAGCAGTTCCAGTGAATGGCAATGTCCTCAGGGAGGTTTCTAGCAGTGTTTTGAACGCTGAAAGTTGGCTCAGGCTCCATGTTCTAGCTCACATTCCAGTTACCAAGATCACTACCATTCTTGTGGGTGACACCATTCTCTGTCAAAAGAATCAAGAAGATAACTTGGGTCTTTTACTACCATCTCTTGAGAACATTTATCACACTCTTACGAGGTGGGGTTTAGAGAAAGATATCAGAGTGTCTTCTGTTTTCTCTTCTAGTTGTTTGCACCAAAACTCTGCTCTTTTTGGTGATGATTTGGCTCAGAAGATTATCAAGTCTCTGTTGGAGTTCCTGCAAAATACAAACTCTACTTACTCCATTAGCCCTCCCCCAAATTTTTCTTTCGCTTTACATGAAAGTTTAACTTTATTTTCTTCCCACCTGAATTTCATGAAAAGTTTTGAATGTTTGAGCTTACAAAGGTCAATGTGATAGTCTCTAGTCGACAAGAGAAAAAACTCATGAGCAGGAAGCTCAGAGTCATGGATTCGAAGATAGTAAAACCTTACCCAGCAAGGCCAGCCCCTTTGCCAGAAATAGCTCCTTCTTCCTTCCATTCATCTATTGGCTTTTCTGTGCCTGCCAATGTAGCCAAAAAGCCTCATCCCCCACAGTACCCCACCACTTCACCACCTCCAATTTCCATCCCTGTTGATTCTCCGCCACCATTTTCCTTCCCTATTGCTCCAGAGCTGCCTCCGCCTTTTGTTCCCGCCAGTTCACCTAACGGTTTCTATTTGCCACCTTGTAATCCAGCTAATAATAGAGCTTCGGCACCAGAGATGGCGGTGGTGCAAAAGCTGTGGTGTGTGGCTAAGCCTAGTGTTCCTGCTGAGACTCTACAGGAAGCAATGGACTACGCTTGTGGTGAAGGTGGTGCTGATTGTGAAGAGATTATGCCTCATGGGAGCTGTTTCTATCCAGATACCATTGTTGCGCATGCTTCTTATGCTTTCAATAGCTACTGGCAGAAGACCAAGAGAAATGGAGGAACTTGCCATTTTGGAGGCACTGCAATGATTATCAATGCCGACCCAAGTAATTGACATTAGTATAGTTTGTTCTCATTCAAGTTCTTATCTATCTTGCCATGCTTTTAAATAGAGTTCTTAATTACAGTATGCCTTAATGCTTGTTTCAGGTTTTTTTCAATGTCGTTTTGTTCTCAGCTAAACGATGGCGAATTTGGGTTTGTTTCTGTACAAAGTAGGATCTGTGGGGCCTGATTGCAAGGTTAATTTGTCTGCTTTTTCCCTTTATTCTAAGTGATTAGAAAAGTAGAATGAGTGTAGCAAGTGGGACTTAAGAATTTTGTTTCTTTGTAACTATTAATGGGGCATCCTATGCACAAATTTGCAAAAGACTTTTTTTTTACTCCTGTTCTATATATATAATGCGCTTTTGCTTTAATCATGAATGTATAGCTTTCTTTGATCTCTTCACTTCTGTTCATATCTCTTTGCTGGATTTTCTCGAGAAAGTAGTTGCCCTGGTGTTTTTCCATTTCCTACTAGGAATGCATGTTTGAAAGGCTTCCAACTTCCAAATTTACTCAACCAAAATCAATATGTTCATCAAGATGCCTAAATGTTGAGTGATGTTCACTAATTTATGTTGACCATCAAGTAACTAATCTGTCATTTACATGATTCAAGAGATAATTCTTGAAATTCCTCTATGGCTATAACAATGTTCTGTCCTGATAATATTTCTTCATTCATTAAAGCTTATTTGAGTCTTCATAATGAAACAAGATTAGATATTTAGATTTTTTGAGGATCTGAATTCTTCTGTCTTTTCTCAATGTGATCAATCCAAAAACATGAATGAAACTCATAAAGAGGTTTCCCTAATAAATAAATGCAAGCTAATTATTTCATTTGAACTATGAATTTTATTGATTTGAGTAGGAGAATGAGCATCAACCATTTATGAAGAAAAAGATTCAAGCTACCAAATTAGCTATCAATGAACTGAGCTAAACATTTGAAGCTCCCAAAGGCAGAAAACAAAAAAGAATAGATTCTCTATCTACAAAAGCTATGATATGGAGTTGATAATTTTCGGCTACCATCTTCTGTTGATACTGGCATATACCAAATTCGAGTTCTGAAGACATCCTCCACCACATAACCAATCTGATTTAGAAAGTTATCCAAATTCACATCCAACTACAAAATTTGCTATCTTACAAAATGAAAAAGGTCTCTAGTGATCTTAAAGAACCAACAAAATAAGAAAAAAAAGAGAGAGAGAGAGAGATGGAAGTGCATATCAGCATATAATCTGATGAACAAATTGACTATCAAATGCCTACTTTCAGTAGAATCATTATCAAGTTAGAATGAAACAAGATTAAGACCAAAAAATATTGACCCACCATTGAAATTGACAAATAATTTACTAATAACCCAAACCCAAGGGAGGAGAGAACTCTAATACTACATAAAAAAAATTATTAGAGTTCATGATTGAGACATACTTGAACAAGCTTTCTCACTATTGTTCCTTGCTCTTTGTACAAACTAAAGCAGTGGAATTCCCTGTTTCATCAACTTCACTGCAAATTGGACCAACTAAAGCAGTGGAGTGATCAATGCTTTCATTCTGTCCAAAAAAAAACCAATAATATTAGACAAACAATACAAGGGAAAACATAAAATTATTTCCAGTAATCAATTTGGTTATGAACTAACATAATTGAATCAGAAATTCAATGAAAAAAAACAGAATTTAACATTTATTTATAATCAGGCCTACAAATCAAAGCATACCTTTTTATTTTGACCTTGAGCCTCCATAAGTTGATAAAATTTACGCATCAACATCTCTTCTTCTACCTAAAACAGCAAAAACCTTATAGTAATTACAACTATAAACCAAGAAAAGCAAAGGGGAATTAGAAAATAACCTGAAGTTTATGCAATTCATGAGAAATCGATGAATGGGATTCTGAAAGCAACTCATTCTGCTTCTCCAAATGTCTGCAAATAATATAATTAAAATAAAAAAAATTTCGGTTCTAAACCAAGTTTAATTTTCAAATAAATCCATCCATGCAAAAAAAAAAAATGTTTATAAATTTGGTTCAAACTTACTTGAGCATCTCCCCGGTGAATCGTGGATCCATATGAAATTGGAGCTTCAAATTCCAAAAATGTAATTCGCAAAGTCTGATTATTTCTACGCAATTGACGATAGAAAACCCTAAAAACTGCGTGAAGGGGGAGACAAAGACTACAGAAATAAAAAATACTGGGGAAATCAAATAAAATTGTTGGAGGCGATTAGCGAAGGGAAAGGGTGAAATTAAATCAAAAAATGAAGCGGCTATTCAATTAAAATAGATTTTAATACCAAAAAAATAATTAAAAAATATTTTTCCAAATAAGAAAGAGAGAATGAAGAAAATTGGGCTAGGAGGTTTTCCAGGCCCAAATGGAAAGGCCTAGTGGTTTTCTGAGTCCAAATTATAAGAATAGAAGAAAAAATCCAATCCAATAAAAAAAAAAAATCTGAGGACCACTTTTTAGACCTAAAAGTTCGAGAAATTATTACATCCATTTATAGTGAAAATTTTAAATTTTAATATAAGATTAATAAAATAATATATATTGTTAGATTATAAAAGTAAAAAATAAAAACTAAAAAATAAATAAAATATGTTAGAATTTTTTAATTTTGTTTATAAAATTAAAAAATTTTATTATCAAAAATGAATTCAAAGGTTATAAAATTTCTTTTGATACATAGATAATACAAAGTAATTAGTATTATGATTTACCAAACAGACACTTCAAGAACGCCAAGACCTTTCTTATATCATTCATATGTAACTTTACTATTAAATCTTAAAATTTATTATGCTTACCAAGATTTATTGTTGTTAAAATTAGTTTAAATTAAGGGTTTAATTTTATTTAAATTTAATCTAAAATTTTATTTTTTACTCTAATGAGAATGAGGATGAGGATGAAAATGGGTATTAAATTTTAAAAATGGAAATGAATAGAAGTATGATTTTAAAATTTTTATTAGGTGTGCCTATACCCTATATGTATTATATATATTTAATAAAATAATTTTTATTTAATAATATAAATTTTATTTTAGATTTATTAGAAATAATATTTTGTATTAAAAAATACATATTTATAAAAAAAACTTAAATATGTAAAATAAAAAATAATAATTTTTTAAAAAAGTTATGAATATGGGCATTATTCATATTCGTTAAATATTCATCGAAATGAAAATGAATTTAAAATACTTAATAAGTATAAATATGAAAATAAATATAATAAAAAATTTGAAAATAATGAAAAAAAATATTCTACCTCTTCTATACTTTCTGCATTGTCATCCTTAGTTCAAGCTTAACCATTTTAGATTAAAGTTCTTTTTTTTTTTTTTTTTTTTTGCGGATTTACACGGCTGAAGTCTCCTTTGGGAGTATGAACAGCATTGTGGGAGGGCTTTCCCGTTATATGAACCCATTTTTTTTTTAACTGGATCCATCCCACATGGACACCTTGTAATATGCAGTTTGCCTAAAACAACTTTGTACTAGAATTAACTTTCAATTGGTTCACATGGACCTTTATGTTGCGACAGCGTGGGTGCTTCAATCTTACATATTGCATGCAAGTATTCCAAATTTCCAGTATTGAGATTGGACGTCTTGGTTTTAATGTCAGACATTTTTTTTGTTGATTGGGCTAATTATAACTGATTTTGAGTATCCGGTGCTTGATTTGCTGTTTATAATGAGACAATGACAGAGCTTAAGCAGTTCATTTAAATGGTTGGAGCTCGGACTCAAATTGCCCTTAGCGTCGTTCGTCCTGGAACTTGGAATTAACCCTATCATTGAGATGGGCTGGTGAGCTCTTAGTGTTACGGCTAATGGTCCACGTCGAGCAGCCTCGATTTCTCTGGGTTGCTCCGTGACCCCAATCATCCCTCACCTGTTCATAAACACTAGACAGAAGGAACCAAGTAATACCGAGAAGACTCAGCAACCAGCAAAGTGGCAGCCGCTGTTCACAGGGCTCATCTGTCCTGGTCGCAACCCAAGCCCATGTAAGTACTTGCCATTTTCCCATACTTCACAGTTCCAAAATTTGACCAGACAATGGAGGAAAAAGAAAATCTGTTTTATTTCAAATTAAGTTAAAGTGTTAAAAAAATATTTTTAGGGTGTGATGTGAGAGATGTGACTAGAGATAAAGTACGTAATTTACATTGAAGGATAACGATAGACTTCTGTCTTGGTCATGTCCAAATTTCCCCACCTTTTCTGGGCAATGTCGGCCCTATCATTAGCTCTATATCTTTGCCTACCTTGTTGCCTATTTTTCTTTTGTTGTTGGACTTTAAACTTGGAAGGAAAATTTAATTTTATAACCGTGAGGGAATAGAAGTTCGATTAGATAATGCCATTTCTCTTATTTGCAAAATCACACTTAGAAAGTGTTATTACCATTAGATTTGATGATTTATATGTTTATATTATGTAAATATTAATAATTTATATATTTTATATAAAAATTATATATTATAAATTATATTGATATAAAAATATAAAATAAATATTTTTTTTAATTTTTTTAATTTTATTTATAATTTTTATTAAAATTTAAAATTATATTATTTTTATATTTTTATTTATATCATTACATTTAATTTTAAAATATTAAATTTTATTTTGACCAAAGGCATTTGTCTTCAGAGTTCGGACTTGGACTTGTACCAAACTTCCTTTCGGTTTGTATACACTGAAATTGACCGCTTTTTCGCGTTCAGTTCAAAAGCCTTTCAATTAAGATAATCTTTACCCACAAATCAAGCCATGTTCCAACTCAAAAGAAACACCAAATTGGAAGCCTAAATGACACTTTATCAGTCAATGTGGGTTGTTCTTTATTAGACCAAGTGAATTCACCTTAAATTAGATGCTCATAATTGGAAACAGCCCTTCGTTTTTCTTGAGATATTCAAACTCCTACATAACACTTTACCTACCATCACTCTTCACCTGAAACTTGGCATTCCACAAGACAAAAAACAAAGACCTTGAAAAGGAGAGTAAAAAAGCTAAACAACTTTGGGTCGTTTAGCCATTGACTTGGAACGGAAGAACAACAAAGATAAGGAAGCCAAAAAAAAATGCCGACCATATTTGACCACTCTGCTTATTTCTTCCTCTTACCTAAACCACCCACAATTTTCAAGTATAGACCAAAAGAATGACATGAACCCAACTGACTTTTGCCTAAGCTTTTTTTATTGGTATACCCTTTCTTTTGGGGGAGGGAGGGAACATTTTTTTCTTAGAAAAACACTAGAAACACAATAGGAATTTGGTTGTAGCTGTTCACGCTAAAGATATATATATATATATATATATGTTAATTAATCATTTTTAGGTTGGATTAAACATGCTTTAATGAAATCAACCCCAGACAAGAAGTTGCCTAACGCTTTCACATAAACCTACTTTTGCCTAATCAAAGCTTTAATTTTTGTTAATTGTTAGATTAATCAACCTTGTCAATGTATAACTTTGATTTTTAAATGATTTAAGTCATTGATTAAGTCGATGATTAGAAGTAACAACGAGGATATTACAAAAAGATTTCGATATCCCTTTGTCCAATTCGATCAAGTTAAGCTATAAACGCCCCAAAAGCTTCTGAAGTTGGTAGCTGTTAACAATCAATTTCGACAAGCTTTGGGCCATTTTGGCAATTACTCATCTATGGTTCTACACTTTGATGTCTGCTTGATGTTATAATTAGGTGCCTTTGAACGTAATCTTTTTGTGTAATGCTGAAAGAAAGTGGGGGATGGGAGGGTGACCATATTAAGATTGAATTTGTTTTGTACCCAATATACTAGAATTGTTAGGTTTATGAATTAAAATATTTCAACAATGTAAAAAATATTTATCCTTATAAATTATAATATATTTTATATCCTTACCTTTTTCGTAATTTTGTATGTTTTACCAAGTTTAAAAGTATTATATGTAAAAATAAAAATAATTTTTAAATCAAAATTTAATTAAGTTAATTTATATTAATTGTTTTTAAGAGATAATATATAACAAACTTAAAGTTTAAATTCCTTTCTTCTTTTAAGATTACGATTACTTTATACTTGAAAAAAGTAAGAATAATTCTTGAAATGAAATGTTGTTTCCATGATTACATGTTGGATAATGTTTATGATGTTAAATCCAGACATTAATAAACAAGATTGGCTTTTTTAATCAGATACATGTTTGATTCATCAACTTGATTGACAAATACAAATTGCAGCTACCAATATTACCCAACAATGAGCACTTATAATAAATAATAAAAGCTTTATGATCAAATATGGTGGACAATTTTATAAAAAAATTTCAAGATATAACCATTACCCATGTTTTATTTGTAGGACAGTTAAAGTTTCTATCAGAATATTTCAGTCAAAGTCATGGCTCTTTTCTTAGGTGCTCACTTATCATCGATTCAATGAAACAGCTACCTACTACTTCTTCAAAATGATCCAAAGAAGGTCAGCCATTGCTCAAGGTAAAAGGTTCCTTTGGGGGAGTTTTTGACCTGAAAATTCTTCTAAAAATTCCCAGCTGTAAGTCACTGAGTGGAACTAAACTTGTCGTAAAGCAAAGATGCCCTCCTATTAGAATTTAGAACTGTAGTTTTTCATTGATTTATTCTGCTTCAATTTTTTTTTCAATGACCCACAAATCACCTTTCACTCCTCATGATTCTTATGAATCCTTAGTGCAAAATCCCGTGAAGACTCGGAACAATCAGAGAAAACGAGCTGTGCTTTGCCATTCATCTGCCTTCTTTGGTCGGTAACTCATCACTCACTTCATCCTTTTTTCCTGGCGTTTATTGCATGTATAACCTATTGACCATGGCACACCATTTTTCTTTTTCTTTCAGCAAAAATAATATTTTTTTTCCTTCCAATCTTTTTTGAAAGTATCTTCAAATATAGTAACGACAAATATATTTAATTATTATTGATCTAAATGATAAGTAATTATTAGTAAAAATAAATTATTATCGATCTAAGATAATAAATTTTGATTTAAATGCGTGATAAAAAATTTTTCTCTGTCAAATTTATATTTTATGATCTAATTCTTTCTTTGTTTTCATTTATTTAAAATGAATGGATGAATAATTTATGTTGCAACCAACTATAATGCTACAACATTATTGTGATATATGTTTTGTCTTTTTAAGAAAAAGGAGGATTGGGTTTGTTATAAAAACAAACGTCACAATCCTAGAACCTGCTTACAGGGCCCATGGTTCCAAACAAAAACCACCTAAACAAAGAGAGAAAAAAAAAAAAAAAAGAAAAGACGAGGAATTGGAAAAAGAAAAAAAAAACATATCATAATATCATTCCGACCACTATCCTATCGTATCAATTTCAATTTTCAATCTTTCATTCCAAAAAGCAAAGAAAGCCAAACCCAAAGCAGCAGCTAAAAGCCAAATCTCACATCGTCCATCCCAATCTAATAAAAAAGTAAACCCCAAATGAAAAAGAATCCATCCACAACACCAAAGTTCATCCACAAAAAAAAGTTCCCAATTATGACTAATCATGTCATATTAGATATATAATAATAATTTATTTTAGGAAGAGAGCTTCATAAATTTTAGGCCAATTTGCCCATGTGGTCCTATGTTCTCCACCACCCTTAATTAGAAAGATACTAAGAACCCAATTACTCTAAACTATGAAAATTAAAGGATAGGGTAAGGTTAATAGGGTGCCCTATTCGAAGCATATAATCAAAGTTATAATTTACAATGGAAAAAAAGAATATTAATAATGCCAAAAGTCAATTGGGGAATTTTTTTTTTTTTTATAAATTGAAAGGGATTTTGATCTTCAAAGGGATATTCTGATTACACATGATTTCTCCTCCGTAAAGAACCGTTTCAAACTTTGGAATAAGGTAAAAAAAAAAAAAAAGAAGAAATTCCCTAAAAAGATATCCAACCCCACTTCTAAAACTTAAGGCTTTGTTTGGGTAGAACAGGATCTTAAAAGCCACATCCATTTACAAAAAACAAAAAGGAGAGGATATTCGTATTGTTTCTTACACCAAAGCCCCATATCTTCTCATTCTCTTTTCTCTACCAAAATCCTTATAAAAAAAAAAAAACTTATTACTATTGAGATTTTTGTTTTGGTGATAAGAGCTTAGAATTCTCTGGGATCTACAAAAATGGAAAGTCCAGGGGGTGATTTAGTCCAGTCACCGACAGACCCGTCACTGTAGTCTTCCCCAAGCCGCTTGATGCACCATAAATCTTCATCACACGATAACCTCTTCCAGTGTGGGACCCCAACTTTCAACGGCTCAAGATTCGCCACCTCAGTCGCCACCACACTGCACCCTCCTTCTTTAGCCAAGTTATGCGCGTGTGCACACAACGCATTAATCAACTTCGCCGCGCGTGGCCCTTCCCCTCCCAACCCGTACAAAAAGTGCAAACCGAACGGCCTAAACACTTCCGGAATCGACGGTAACCTCAAAAACGGCAACAGCTTGTCCACAATCCTTGTCGTTTTAGCCAACGTCCTCTTCATCCTCGACGCCCCGCGAACTTCCAACCTAAACACGTCCTTGCAATTCCAAACACTCAAAACCGCCCACGACTCTGGCGGGTCGTCTAAAAACTTATCCGACCCAGGCCATGACTCCCGCGTATAAAAACATCCACGTGGCACAGCCAAAAAAGTTCCCAGGTTAAGCCTATTATTAAGCACCGAGTCAATGTCACGAGGGAAGAACTCGGTGGTGGAGAAACGGCGGCGGTAAAGGGACTCAGCATCGGAAGGGGGAAGCTTGATCAGGGTGACTCGGTTGGAAACAGGGAGTCGGTGAGCAAACACGGGGTTAACCAAAATGGAAGGAGTACGGAACTTGGAGTAACCGCATTTATCCGTAAAGAGATTAACAGAAGCTTGGTTGTCCTTTTCCGTTGCTAAGTACGAATATTCAGCGCCGTTTTGAATAAACCACTCTTCCATTCTAAGCACCAGCTTTAACCCTATTCCCATTCTCCTAGAAAGAAAAAAACAGAGCAAAACCCAAAATTAAGATCATTGATTACTATTGTTTTAACGTACTAAAAACCATTTGTTGCGCCATTTATGGTAAGAGATTAAGGCAAAATACCGGTGCGAAGGGGAGACCCGAAGGCCTAAAATGTAAGCGAGTTTGGTGTAAATTGGAATAGGTTTGTTAGGATCATTGCTTTTGCTATTCCGAGAGAGTTTCTTTCCACAGGTAACGGTTTTTATGCAACCTCGAATCATTCCAACTATCTCTTTGGTTGAGGCTAATTCAGCCACCTGCTTGATTACAAAGGAAAAATAAAATGAATGATAAAGGGTCGGTATGTAGGAAAAAAACAAAAAGAGCGAGATTTTAGTAATGGAGAAAAAAGAAAAAAGACAAATAGAAAAAAAATGTTAGTACCAGCATGAGGAAAGCAGGGGAGTGGCGGACCCGGCAAATAGGGTCACCTAAGAGGTCGGTAAAGAGAGAGAGTTTGCCGCTGGGACCAACCTCGCATCTTTTTTCCACTTCTTCTACACTTGTTAAATCTTTGCAAGGATCAAATTCTCTTACCACTATAACACACTCATCGTCTCCCATAATTTTTATGTTCACTTCTTTTCAGTATGGCAGAGTAATGACACCAGAGAAAGGAGATTTAGATACAGTGAAAGCGAGGGTTTTTGAGTGAAGATAATTGGTAACGAATGGAAGGTTTATATAGGTGAAAAAGCAGCTTTTTTAAGGGTAGAAAATAGGCTGAATAACGTTTGAATCAAGCAAGCAATAAGAGAGAAAGAAGAGGCGACAGCAGCAAAGGCTAAAAGCTTAGGACTTCGAAATCAGAGATAAAAGTAAAACCATATATAAATATTTAGAGAACAGTACGGTCTCCCAAGCTTTAGTTTCTTTGGTTTTTTTTTTTTTGTCAAAGAGAAAAAACTAGTAAGTTCATTGCCAGAGAAACAATTGGTTTGAAGCTGTTTTTAAATACTCATTTTTTGGGGTTTTTTTAAAGGAAAAGGCTTTTACTCTCTGTCTATCTCTAGAAGCCCCAAACCCTTCCTTTTCTCTCTTCTGGCTTTTTGTTTAATTCAGTGATTTTAAAAGTCTCTATCTCCTCTTCTCTTTCTGTCTGTCTATATATCTTTCTTTTTCTCTCTCTTTTCGTAACCAATAGCAAATGTAATCATTAAAAAAATTAAATGGATAGTAAATAAAAAAAATAATGATAAAGATTTTTATTATTAATCATCACAAAAAGAGTGGAAGTGGAAATGGCGGCTATGGCTGCGCAATCTTGTGGGTTTCTTTTTCTTCTATCTCACTTTTTCATTATAATCATTTAATTTCTACGGATGGAGGCCTTGCCATCATGACCCCATTTGTAATCACCACCTTTCATCTCATCATCATCATCACCAACTTTTCCACATACATAATCTTGTCGGTTCATGAATAATGAAAATTTTTTATATATATATTGGAGATCGATAAATTATTCAGTGTTATATTTTAAAATTTTATTAATAATTATTAGATAATTATTTTTATTTGAAAATTATGATAAAATGCATATATCATTAGTGGGGTGAAAAAGGTAACAACGTGGCGAGATGGAAATCGTTGGTTACGGGGGTGATGAGGCACCCAGGAAATTCGGCCGTTGATAGAAAATCTAGAGTAAGTGGACTGGACTGGACTCTGCAGAAGCGGCTCTCTTTTTTCACATCACCAGAATAACTGCTAATGCTAAAATATACCACTGGTAGCGTGGCGTTTCCGATCTCGATACATCATCGTCATCATCGGTATCTTCAATCTCTTTTGCGATCAGTATCAAAACGGACGGTCATGATCGCTCCCTTCACGGATAGCTACATTTTTTCACAGTCATCGCTAAAGCTCTATATGCTCCTTTTGCCCCTTCACCCCCCCCCCCCTTTTTTTCTGGAATATCCACCATGCAATGCAGCCCTATCAATTTTCTTATGAACATGCAAGAAGCGAAAAATTTTGATGGGACTTTACACTGATTTTATGTTCCTTTTACAAATTCCATAATTTCTTCCTTATTTCAATTTTTTTTATAATAACATAGTCATCTCAAAAATTGTTAGAATTTCAGTTTTTTTTTTGAATTTTTTAAAATTATACTTATAATTAAATATTATATTTAAATAATTAATTAATAAATTATAATTTAATTAAATATCTAAAATTTTAAAATTCCCTTTTTACTATTAAATTAATATTTCATTAACTTTTTTTGAACATTTTTAAATATATATTTCTCACGTAAATACTATATATATATAATTTTATTTTCAAAATACTAGATACAAATATTTAACTTTGATTGATAAATAGAGAGAGTTCTTATCGATTAGCCAAACTTGACTTCTCTTCGTTAATTTTTAATACAATTTTTGTCATCATCCACTTTCACAATTTTCGATTAAATTATATATATATATATATATATATATATATATATATGAATGAAGAACGATGATGATCAATGCAATTGATAAATAATAAAAAAATGAACAGAACCGAACTCAATTTTTTATGGGTCTTTCAACTCTTTTTATAAACTGTATTGAAAGGTACTACTTATTTTATTAACAAGAAATAATAATGTGATAACATAATAACGAAGATGATAATTATTTATTATTATGTTTGATGGATTGATTTTATCTTATTATTTTAGTAATTTAAAATTTTTTATATATTATTTTGATTTAAATTTAAAATCTTTACATTTAAAATTTATAATTTAACTACCAAATTGATCGTGGGAAATTTTGGGAAAATTTTACTTTATTAAATTTTTATAAGATTTAAATTATAATAATTTAAATATAAGTATAAAAGGATCAACAATTCCACATGATTTAGAGTGGGTTAGCATAGTGAAACCGCATGATTGATGCTGGAAGGGCGTTACATGTGAGGGATATCTTATTTTAGTAGTTTAGTAGAGGAAGTGAGGAGTTTAATTGGAAGGCGAAAACGGTTTCGACAATGATTGGGTTCTTAAGAGGAAATGGACACGTCATCAATATGATTAATTATTTAATGCCTTATCATTACTACATTAAACCTGTTATTTTAAGTAACTGTTTGAAGATGTATAAGAGAAATGGTTATATAAAACCGTTACTTTTATGTTATATGTCACTTTTATTTGAATTGTACAATATAATTATATTTTCAAAAAATTTAATATTTATTATACATTACATGTTATAATTAAAAGGTGAATATTAATTTTAATAAATTTATTAATGCTTATTATAATAAATGTAAAGTTGATTTTTTAAAAAATATGATTATTTAACATAATTTAAATGAAACGTGATATATGTTGATGTAGAGTAACCATTATATATATATATATATATATTTGGTGCAATGATAGTTTCAAATTAAAGTACTAATAATAATTTTTTTCCTTTTACTAATAATTAAAAATAATTTATTGAAGCCAATTTAGGATAAATTTAAATTAATATTGTTAATTTTGTTTCGATATTAGTTGCATTGGTTGATATGCTTTGTCTATACCAAAATACGATACATTTAAGAGTAATTTTTCATACCAAATTTGATATGAAGTAATATTGGTTAGTTTTGTAAATTTCGATTGGTTTCGATGAAGTTTGGTGAATTAATTTGCTTTTGTAAATACATGAATATGAAATATATTTTATAAATTTTAACTTATCTTTTATTATTTAACTATTTTAACTAATAAAAATAAAAGTAGTAGATAAAATAACCCTTAAAAGTTTAATTTCTCTATTTTTTTACTACAATTTATTTTCTATTATATCCAAACCAAGGTTCATAAGCATTTTAATTTCTTTTAAGAAATCATTTATGCTCGCTAAGGTTTAATAATCCTAAAATCAAGGTTAATTTCTTTTTCATATCTTTATTTTTATCTTGATATGTTTTCACATGAAAAAGAAAAATACTCATTTAAATATCATATAATTATATTAATTGTTTAAAAATATTATGATAAATGATAATATTATATCTTATACTTTTAAACTTATTTATTTTTTATTTAAAGATATTGTATATTTATTTTATAGATTATTAGTAATATTATTATGTACAATTCCATATATATATTTATAAATATATGTGTACTAAATACAAAAATTTGAAATAATATATTGAAATAATTATACCTACAAATGCCATTTTTTTTTGAAGAAAATCGAAATATTGTTGAATATGATATTAATAGTTTTAATTTAAATAGCATGTATGTTGGATAAATTTTTAGAGATCACAAGTTTAAGAGAATTTAAATAAATAACATTCTCATGTGAGTTAAGTAGATAAATATCAAGAAGTTATAGATTCGAGAAGTTATAGATCGAGAAAATTTTATATATATATATATATATATATAACATTTTCTTCCGGTGAGTTAGGTAAACAAGTTAAAAGGTCAAAAATAGATTAAGAATTAAAAAGAAATTATTGAAAATGACCTAATTTATTAAGGATTTAATTAAAGTAAACACTTGGGAAAGACGAAGATGAAAGGAAAGTCATTGATAAGTCAAGTTAAGTTAGAACTGAGTTTCCTACGTTTAGGAGATAGACAAATTTCCATTTTTTTAATTGATATATGTTAATTTATGTAAAGAAAATCTTTTAATGTAAATTAAATGATTAAATTTATTGAAGTAGGAAACTGGGGCCCTACATTTGACTGGTCCCTTTGGAATGTCTACGTGAGTTAGTGGTGGAGTTGGTATGCGATTATTGAGAATTGACTTTGACGCTTCTCTAATTGGTAAGTAGTAACAATTATTGTTGCTAACCAAGTATTTTATTTTAATTAAGAATTGTGGAAAAAAATTAGAGTTTTTTTTTTGTACTTTTATCAATAATTAATATTTCATAAGCCATTGACTTTTAGATAATTGGTATGTCATTGAAATTAATGTTTGAAGATTATAGATTTAAAAAAATTATATGTGTAATATTTTATTTAATTAGATAAGTATTAGAGTAAAAGATTTAAAAGTAAATTAAGAATCTTAAAAAATATTACATAAAATAATCTAAGGAGGGATCAATTTACACTAGTATAAAACATTACTTTTGTTAATTATTAATTTTAATAAATTCGATGCATGAAAAAGATAAGTAAAAAATGATTGAATCTTATTTTTTAGATTTATTAAAATCAATAATTAGAAACAATATATAAAATTTTTTGTGTAAATTTGATTGTTCCCACATAATATTTAATTATGCAAAGTTTGCTAGCTTATTTGAAGCAGAGCTTTAACTTTAGGGATTTCCTAGAAAGATAGAAGAGAAGGGTAGTTAGAGGCAAAGGCATTGTGTGTTCCTTACGTTTGTATTTTAAGGCGCAAGTCAAAAATATTCAGGTCGAAAAAGAAGTAGAAAAAAGAGAAAAAGAGTAGGTTCCATTTACTTTAATGGTAGCCGGGACCTTCATATTTATAAGTAAGCTGTGAAGGACCATTAAAGGATAATAAAGACAGTGTCGAACTGATGTGACATTAAGTATGTCAGATCGACTTGACATGTCAGATTGTCACAAATGAGAAAAATACATTTGATTGTTTGTCAAAGGCTTCAAAGAGAAAAAAAATATCATTATACCCTTTTAACCATCAAATATCCTAACATTTTGTCCTCTCACCAGACGGTTTGAATATCAGATCGTTGAATTTATGATTGATGTCCCTAGTGTAAGACAGATTGGCTAAAGAAAATAACTTAGGAGCTTGATTTTTTGAAGCTAATATTATAAAGGGAGGTCGGTATT